CCCCACCCCCATCAACGTGCTGGACCACATTACACATCCCGCTGCTGTCGTGTTCCTCTGCTCGGACTTTACTTACTCGAGGTTTCGCCAGCTGCTTGACTTTCTCAATTTCAGCGTCTGAGATGATGTCGATGTAGCGGACGATGTAGGGGCGGTCCCATTCATCTTGCTGTTTGACCGGCGCCAGCAGGAGTTTGGGGCTGCGGTTGTTGTCGTAGTAGCGGCAAAACAGCCGACTCTGACGGCGTGGAGTCTGAGAGGTGGGGAGCAAGCGGTTAAAAGTGAGCTGTAGTTCCGACGTCAGCATTCGTTTTTTTCTTTTTTTTTTTGCTTCCTCACCATTTTGATACCTTCCCCACGACAAAGCATCTCGTACTTCTTCCTCTCTGGAATCAGTGAGAAGGCCTTTTTGGACACCTTCTTCTTCTTTTTCTTTTCTGGCGTTTCCCTTTTCTCTCTCTCCTTTTGTGTATCCGTGTCGTCTTCGGTAGRTTTTTTCTGCTTCTCCAGCTGGAACTCAAAGTACTTCACGTTGCCTTTGGCACGCTGGTGATCTGGATCTATAAAAAAAACACAAAAAACCCACTAGAATCACAAAGGCCAACCTCTAAATTCATCCCAACACATACAATTAAAACATGCAATGCATCTAATTGTACACTTTTTTCTCATCTCAAACTATAGAAGGCAGCTCACCCAGCTCCAGCAGCCTCTTGGTGAACTCCAGCGCTCGCTCTATCTCCCCCTGCTGGTAGATGGCGTAACTCAGGTAGTCCAGCACCGTCACTTTATCTATGGTGGACTCCTCTCCCTCATCGAGTTGTTTCAGAGCCTGGGCCATCCACAGTTCAGTGTGATAGTAATCGACATCCGAGTAGGCAATTTTACCCAGCTCGTAACAGTCCTCCACTGTCATATGGCTCTTGTGTTTCACTCCTTTTATTAAAAAAAGAAGGACAACAATGGCATAGAACATGTTAAATTAACTTTCTTCACAAAGTAATCACTGCAAAGGTTTTTCATTTATGCACCAAATAAAAGTTCACCAAATAAAAACTTTTTTCTGTTGATGTTGTAGTTGTTTTGGGAATAATATGACAATGCACTGATTTGAAAGCTTTACCAGGCAGATTTCCTGTGGAGATAGTGTTGGCATCCAGTTTATAGGTGTCTTGTAGACGGAGCAGAGCTTTAGCAGCCCCAGTTTGGTCCTCCTCTGTGGGAAAGTACTGCCTCTGGATGGTCAGGTTGGAAATAAATCCTGGAAAACAATTGCAAAAGACAAGAAAGATGAAGTATTCTGTAGGTGTCAAAATGAAACAATAAAAAACACTTTCCAATGTAAAAACAAAAAGCGAGACAAGACGATGAAACAACTGCATCCAGAATGTTACAGCAGATATCCTAACTTTGGCAAAGAGTAAGTCTATTTAATTATAGGTGCGTACCATCAGTGGTGTCACTAAGTACAAGACTCTCCAGGTCTCCCCACTCTGTGTTCAGCCTCTTCATCAGTTTGAAGGCATTAACAGGATGGCCCAGGAAGCCTTCAGGGTCCTGAGTGGCTGTCGCTGTCAAGGAATCCAACTTGTCAGCCCACCTGTCACCAAAACGATCATGATTACAGTCCTGGTTATGCTTAAAAATGTGATTATTGCCAAAATAATTATTAAATGCAATGTTTCCCAAAATGTAAAAAAGATCATTTATCATCACATCACAGATTAATTTCCATGTTTGTTGAGCATGCACTGGTTTTTGCAAAAACTCTGCAAATTACGTCAAACTATGATTGATTTTACTCTATATTTTATGTATGGATAAATCATGCTTTCTTATGTTTGACATAAACAAAGATCAACAACTTTGACATGTTTATTCTAGAGTTTATTTTCAGGTTATTTTTTTAAGGTAATCATTTTGAGAAGTTGCCGATTTGGAGTCAATATCATTACAAAACTGTGCTGTTTTTAAAATATTAAGAATCAATATTTTATAGCCAGTAGACAGACTTAAATAGATGTCCTTAAATGATGGAAGGGGATCTTTTGTTCTGACTGTGTATAACCTTAAATCCATCTCACCTTTTGACCCGCTCTAGTTTATTTTCCTCTGCTCTGATGTAGTCTTTCAGAGATGTGACGAGGTCCTTTTCTGTATATAACAGATCCGTCATCTGGCCTGAGGGGCACAATATAGTAATATTACAACAATGACAGAGAATTGTCAGCTTTATTGTTTTAATATCTTGAAATATCACAACCTTTATAGGCTTGTAAAAATAATAAAGGTTGGGGTCGGTTTGTTAACAGGTGCATGATGTTACCTATGGAGGTGAAGAAGTCATTGTGAGCCGACAGCGACTGCAGGCAGCTCAGCAGCAAAAAGCACCAACATGTTAGCTCCATCCTGAAAAACAAGTGAGACAAATCATTGGAAAAGTTTTAGAAACCTAATGTCTCCTAATGACTTACAATCACTCATGTGCTCTTCCCTCAGTGTCGTTATCTTCTGGTTCACATCTTCCACTAATTTCAGAACACGGAACGTGAGCATTTCTTAAACCAGATAACCTATACACCTAATGTTCTCCAGCTCAAGATAACTTTAAACAGAAGAAAACATCTGTATGAGTAGAATTAGAGATACAGTGGTTTATTTAACTATTATTTAACTCTGGTTTCATGCACTTTTCACGTTTCTGAATCTTTACAACACGTTATGACCCTTAAAGCTTTACATTTTCTATTCCATTTCATGTTCAAGTACATGCCACTGTAAGGGACTTCTGGGTCTGGGATGGATGGATGGATGGATGGATGGATGGATGGATGGATGGATGGATGGATGGATGGATGGATGGATGGATGGATGGATGGATGGATGGACATTCTTAAGCAAAAGAAGCTATGAAAATCTGTCTAAAAATAAAAAAATGTCATTTTTCCATAAGAAAACCAGCCTCATAACCTCACAAAGCCAGATATAGTTCTGTGGTTGGTGTCAGTGTGTCTGCTTTAGCTCTGGATTTGGATTAGGTCTAAATCTGAGAAGGATTCTGACCTCGTTTTTCTCCAAATGCAAATAAAATTTAGACAAAAACAAAAAAAAAAAAAAAAAACATACCAAGGCACGGGTGTCTGACTGCAAACAGTATTTATGCAGCATTTATTCAGAGAACTTATTAAATGAAACTGCAGAAGCAAGGGGCCTATATGCTCCCTCCCTGCGCTACTAGGGCTCTGTATTGGCAAGAATTTGGCGATACGATACATATCATAACAGAGGGGTCACGATACGATATATCCCGATATATTGCRATACTGTAAGCATGGCAATATATTGCGATATATTGCGATTTTTTTGTCCAAAAATTTTATTAAATAAAAACCTCTTACTGAAAAAAAAAAGCTAATGTTTACTTACAATGCTTACATTGTCTCCTACAACGCTAATGCTAGAGGAGCCAAATGGCTGGCTCACTGCTGCCAACTAGTGGTCAGACGCTGAACTACAACATAAAACTGRACGGTAGGCAAGAAGGTTGACATTTTAAAACTAAATCAAAAATCGATACAGGGCTTTAGAATATCRATACAGTATCGGGAAATGAAACATCACCATATTTCAGTGTATCAATATTTTCTTACACCCCATGCGCTAAATCACTTTTGAATGATGTCCTGATGCATCTCAGTAATCCAGGTAAAAAATCAAAAGGAAAAAAAAATTGAATAGGTCCTCTGGACGGGTTCTTCTTTAACGAAACGTTTCGTCTGTCTTCCAAGAGACTTCTTCAGTCTGAGAGTTTCAGGCAAAATTCAGGCTTTTGAATGATGCAACACAAATCAGTTGTGTCTCTTGTTCAACTGAGCATCGTTCATAAACTAAATTTTAATCACGCTTTCTGGACTAAAACTTGATCCAAATGTTCTCACTGAGAGAACCTTTATTTATACCCAAAATATGACAGTACAATTCTGCTTTCAACTAGATTCAGACAGCAAGTTCAGGCAAGTTCTGACTTTGCCACATGGATAACCCTGAGTGGAGAAATAGAAAAAAAAAAAAAAAGAAAAAGAAAAAGAGTTTTAGGTCCATTTAGGTCAACATTATGCTGTTGGGTATAACATATATATACTGTATGTATAACTGTTTTACATTGTGTGAAATAGTCACAGTTCTATTCCAGAACATAAAGTGGCCCTTAGAGAAAAGTCCCATAAATAAGATAAAAACTCATGGAAAGTAATTATTGTAATCACTGTAATGAAAGGGTAACAGTGAAGAAAGTTGCATGAATTTAATTTCAAGACTAAAGCTGAACATTTAAGTTTTTTATTATTATTATTCATGAGCCCTGCCACACATATAGAATTTCTACAYGTACATGCCTGTAACGTGAAGAAATAATATTTTTGGTGATTGCAGAATATTACTAAAGAAACTACTCTGAGTTGTAATGCAACTAAGTACAAATACTTTGTTACTGTACTTAAGCAGAATTTTCGGGTATCTGAACTTCACTTGAGTAATTATTTTTCAGCATACTCTTTACTTTTACTTATTACGTTTTTACACAATTATCTGTACTTTCTACTCACCACATTKTTTTTAAAAAGGTAAGAAGTAGAAAGTCGTTACTCCTATTTTATTAGTAGTTGTTATTACTTAAAAAATACCATCCTGATAAATTGTGTCWCCTGGATAAAGTGAATTTAATTGTGGTTGGATTAGAAGTATAAATATTTACCATTCTGACACCCTATTAGCTTGTACACAACCCATCACAGCTGCACGCCGCTAGAAAAAATATTTTTTTTGGAGAAGTCACCTTCAAATGTCATTTTGGAAAATCTAACTGCTCACTTTTACTCAGTACTTTTACTTTTAATACTTAAGTAGATTTTG